CACCAATACCATTGAGACAGCCCGGTCAATCACGACCCTTTAATAGTATCGTGACGTGACACGTATCAGTCTCCATTATCAGAGCTCACACAGAGGGATGAAAGGGAAGAGGTCACCAGTTATGTTGATGCACTCATTCTTGTTATTCATGCTCGGATTTCGGTGTCTTATCCAGAAAGCCTCGAGAGTTTTTCTGGCACCAATACTGTCCTCGTAGGCCAAAATCGTGCATTTAACGGCAAAGTCACAACCAGCATGACCTTCTCTTCTATGCTTCCCAAGCGGTGCAATCGAGCAGGACCTTCGTTTGCTAGCTAAATGCTCTTTCACTATCTTAATCTTAATGACTTGATATCTGATGCTTTCTTTACGCTGAAATTTTACTCTGAACGGAAACTCTGAATGCTCTAGCAGCGTGTATCTATGACGAGATGTCAACATAATGAATAACCAAGCTCTGGAGAAGGAAACCGACTGTGTGAAGAGTATTTGAAGACATCGAGGGAGTAGTGAAGTATATAAAGAACATCCGGCCCTGCGCTAACTTTTTTGACGTTGCGGTCCTTCCTGCCTTGACGTACGTCTTGGAGACATGAACTCTACGAGGCAAGATGAACATACCGCCAGCGTCACACAACAAACCGTAAAAGGAATAATGCGCGGAATTGACCTACCCAAACCAGTGCGGAAGGACAGCGAGGTTACAGACTACGGGACGACTACGATCAGCAGCGTGGTGATCAGGCTTCCTCACGGAAATTCCACCGCCTTTTCTGCCACGTTAGTTTGCCACTTTTTATCCGACACGCAGTTTAGGCTACAGACTTCGGGAATCTGTAGTAATCGCCCAAAAAGGGAGGAAAGCGGGGACACTTCAACAATCTTCCGAGCATCGCCTATCCCATGCAGCCAAACAACTGCAATGCGATGTCAATCAAAACGATAATCTAGGAAAAATGAAATTACCGGAATTAAGGTGGCTACCAGGCATTTTTTTTTTTGAAATATGTCTTATCTTGTATTGAAGAACGCAAGCAACCTAAGATGTGATGTATAGAAAAAAGGCTAAGGTTATGATTTCAGAGACACGCAAGCAGTGGATCCATATATTATGGCCGACATATTCAACGTCATTGAAAACGAAATCATCGCTGATTTCATCAAAAATGCGCGCTTTATTATGTGATGTTCTATTGGTGTTTTTATGGATGAATTGTATTTTCACTGTTCTTCGATTTTTCAGAGTCCGATTACAGCCAGACTTGTGGGTGGAATTTGGACTAATTACAGGTTACGAACTGCTTAAATCAACCCCAGAAAGCAGGGTGATGAAATGATGTTCAGGTGCCGCATGATATAGTGCGCATTCCTGATTTGAGCCACATCAATTTTACGACACAGATCGCTCGAGCTCGGACCTTCTAGAGATAAAAAGGGCGATAACATCTCTTCTAATCTTAAAAAATCCTTCGTTTTTTTCTGGCGAGAACATGTTTAGGTCTTAAAACTGACTGGATACGCTAATGAAAACAGCCTTTCGATTTCGACCCAATCTGCCCAGTGACAATCATGTTCTAGTTTACAGGATAAGCCGACACTCTGGCTTCCGCAGAAATAAAACGTCACAACCCTCGCCTAAGGGATATTTAGAAAAAAGGGCATAGACACATGAAGATTTCGCTGTGAAAAAATAGAAATCTTCCGCTGTGGAAATACAAGCTGCAAATTCTAATATCGAACCGACCCCTCGGTCATCCGAACAATTTTGACCATCTGTAGACAGTCACCTGCTGCAGACAATGCAACAAGCGACTGTTTACAGTCGATCATCGGTAAAGAATTCGAGTGGTTCTATGAAAAGACTTCCAGCGACAAGTTGAAAATGCAAGCAATAAAATAACCTGTAGGTTGGTAAGCGGTTCCATCTTTTGCACACCACCAGAAGTATCACAACGCAGCGTAACCTAAAAATTGAAGAAAATATGATTGCAGTGTATCGTCGACATGCAAGCAAGCGTTACTCACAGTGACGTTCTGCCCTGGCATAAGTGGAGAAGGAACGCGAAGAGGTTCAGCTGGAGCTAAGCCGAACGAGTTCCTATTGAACTGAATAGCAAATCCAGAAAGAGGTTGCATTGCCTGAAATTCGAAGAAATGAGATTGAATAATATGTTGTAGCATTTTTAAAAATATTTTCTTTACCTTATTGGTCAGAGTCATCTCCATCATAATGTTTCCACCACGGCGGGCAAATGTTCCCTCGAGTTGCAGACCCTGGTTACAGAGAGTCGATTAATAGGAGGCAAAATCTGGCTATTGAAATACACGTTCAGTACATATCATTAGACGCCCCCTCCCCTCAATACAGTTAGCCTTCAAAAAGGACGACAGAAGATTTCACGAAAGACAATCAATGTTAGCGTCTCACAACGCATACAACAATTCATCAATAACACAATATTACTAACCGCTTGATCTTTTCCAACGAAATGTAATTTACTTACTTTGGCTTTGGCTGCATCAAGCCATAACTGTTTCGGTGCTTGGTAACCAGAGCTGGTGTCCACTAAACCCAACCCGCCGCCAAAGATATCACCGAGACCACCTGAAGAAAAAAAATCGTCCCTCTGTGGTTATGACTAAGAGATCACCTAAAATTGTACAATCATGAACCTAGCGAGGAGGTCGCCGCCGCTGAGGCTGCAGGCACTGCTGGAGCTCCACCCAGGGACAACCCTGATGGCGCAGGAGGAGCTCCAAGGCCTAGGCTGGCGAGAGGATCGAAGTTACTGGCAACGGGAGCTGTGGCAGGTTCAACGAGAGAAGGACCTCCTAGACCTAGTAGGTCATCAAGGCCACCAGACGTCGACATCGGTGCATAACCTGAAAGCATAGTACAAGGAGTAAAAAAGCATGAAATATATCGTGAAATTTTCAATTTATTGCTAACACCGCGTTAGAATTCCTCTTATTTCTAATTTTCCAAGGTTTTGTGAAGTTCATTCAACAAAAATAGTCGAGTCGTTCAAAAGTAATCATGTAAGGGCCTTAACGAGTGACCAGAAAAGAAATTATCTTCAATGTACGAAATTCTTACTTGGCATTGTATTCATCGGTCCTCCCATAGGCGCAGAGATATCCAGGGAGAGCAGGTCTGCGATGAGGGTATCTTGGGAAGGAATCACTGTAGGAGCGGTGTTTCGAACTAGACCTGGTGCAGCTCCACCGCTCGAATCAATCGACGACTGGCCACTGATAAAAAGAAAAATTTTGGTCATCAGGATCTGGCGACGTTATTTCTACAATAAAATGTTATGGCAATAAAAAATATAAAGAACATGACTCAAAAAAGCTGTTTAAAAGTGTCAATCATTACAAAATATTTAAAAAAAACATACTTAGAGGCGCCTGTTCCTGCTCGCAAAGGTTGCCTTGCACCATCAACGAATGAGGAAGGTGGTTTATGATAGACAGATGCCAAACTTCCAATGTGACAAACGAGCTGGTCAAGCAAAGATGGTTCCAAGAGGTCCGTTTCCTCCGAAATTAACGGCTTTTCGGCCAGAACAACTTGCTTAGCTGCAGCTGGATCGGCTGACAACAGACGCCAGTAAATATATCTGAATAATCATTACTAAAGCCATCTGATCATTAAGCACTGACTATACTACGCGTTTACGCATACTGTAGAATTACTCCAGGGCACATTCATGTAAAATACTGTACTACAGCTACAAATTTTTCGAATACGAAATACGCAATAGAACAATCGGGGAACACCTACGAAATGAGTCAAACGGTGGATTTCACCTTAACAGCTGCCCTTAAAGTTCCTCCGTCGAATTTAACAATAGTGTACAATGACTTTCAGTTACTCCTTCTACATTACTCTCTATTTCTGCATTGGGAGCCATGTCATCATGGTATCCTATTCACTAATCTTTTCATAATACGTGCTGACAATCCTCTCTTAAGGCAATATCGAATTTTAAGCATTCAAAAAACTAAACAAACCCGCGATCTCTTAGATCGGGATTATCACTATCCTGTGTAGCGAGAGATAAAACACGTTGAACCAGCTGCTGTGTGTCAGCTGGACGTTTCAGGAATAATTTCACAACTGCAGTAAGCAATTGTAATTGCACCTGAAAATTTGCCAGAATAATGACAAGCAATTTAATGACAGTTATTATAAGCCCCTCCCATGTAAACAACTAATAATTATCGTATGCCTAAAACTGAAGTTGCGACCGCATTTTGGACTGAAAACATATGAAAACAGTGCGGGAGATCAAGCAGAACAATCAGTACCAGAACCAATCAATTCATACAAACCTGAGTGTTTTCGTCGTGGAAACCTTCAACGAAACTCTCCAGTAGCTCGTCAGCATTATCGATTCTTTCAGCATACTCACCAATAATCCATATCATAGAGGCACGAGCCTCAGGTTCGTCTAATGTATCCAGGTTCTGAAAACGCATTTATTGGAGATCCTGAATATCGTCTCACCTCGCTTAGAACACCTTCATTATAAATCTTATATTTTTCCACAAATGCGCAAGGCCTACACGATGATTGCAGCCAAAAGATGTCAGAGTCAAAACTTAGGCTGAAAGAAAGGGAAAAGAAGGATATCCTTGAACTCTGGCGCAAGTAGGAATGAGAGAAGATGGTGGATCCCAAATAAGCAGTATGCTTAAACACATCGATTTCAAAGTTCACGGATGGTTTTTGTGTTCGCCGTCTTGATGTGACGGGAATAGGAAGAGATCAATGTTGAATCAACTTAACTTTCGGAAACACTTTCTCATAGCAAGTAGAAATACAACTCACCTCACACAAAGTAGAGATAATACTTTCATAACGATTAGGATATTTGCGGAAGATATCCTAAAAAAAAAAAGAAATCACCGCATTGAGGGATAAAGAAAAAATGGTAGAGGTATGAGATACGAGCTGAAAATTACCAAAAGCGCACCTTTATGACAACTACAGCTTCCTGGACCACATAGTTCACCTTCGTCTGGATTAGTTCAAGCAAAGTGGCAACACAACGTTCGCTACTTGCTTCCACCTAAAATCCCACCTAAAGAATCGCATCCACCACAATCGTTATCACAATGAGCGCAAAATAGAACCACAAAATTGAGATGACAAGTAAGTTAATTATTGTATATATATATGATATTCTGTGAGTAGATCATGTACCACTTATTATTGCGTTCCTGAGAACTATGGTTCACCCCAAACTATGTTCACGCCTTTTCCAAATTTCTGCAGATAGGAGTTTTTCGCCTTCAAAAAACAAAGTAGCGCCGAGAGACAAGTAGACTGCTTTCTTTTTCCGTCAAACAGTCTGATGCACAGACCACCTCATACCTATACATTATCCAAAAAAACGAGTTCGCCTTCAAAGTGAGAAATTTTCACGCATTCATATATGCCACCCTTTCAGAACTTGTTCGCCCCATTTTGGATCCTCATTCTTCTCCGTGAAAATCTCCCAAAACGCACGAGGAGGGAAAAAACTTGGGACTCGTTCGACCGAGCTTGTTCGACAACTTCACTTCGAAAAAGTCTATTTCACTACATTTCACTATTTCCCCTTTCTAGCTTTTTTGCTTCTTCCTAGTACTGCGTCACACGAAAAAGGTTTTTCGAAGTTTTTCAATTATCCATTCAAGTTATACAAATAGTTCATAAAGCTGTCACGGCCTTTAAGCATGCACACAACGGCTTGAATTCTGTAATGTCTAGGACGGTTTCAAAGTCACCTTTATGGCACATCTGCCAATGGCCCTTACTGATTTGCGCACAAAATCAACGTCCACCTCGGTAGCGTACCTAAACAAAAGCACTTATTCGCTAATGATGAAGACGACCTGAGCGAGCTCTTTTCGATTTCCGTTTAAATAAACCGTTGCGTAATCATGAAACACTGCTTACTCTTTAAGTTCACTAAGCACTTGAGCAATGTTGTTCTGCTGAGCAAGACGAATCATAATATCGAGTTTCTCCATTTTCACATAAATAGGGTCATTATACTTGACGAAGAACACCTGCAAAAGCTCTAAAGGTTACGGAACTGTACATTGTCACTATATGACTAGGGAGCGAAAAAGACAGGATAATTTTTCCTACATAATGTGTCATGTCAAAAATTGGAAAGCATGGGAATGGGATAAAGGACATGTCACAGTATTACCTTCATTTCCTGTTTCAAAATCTCTGGCCTTTTCTGAACGATGAGATTGATGTTACGCAGGGCAACGTATTGAATCTCTGGCTCTGCAGATAGCAACGTGACCTGAACAACAAATGATATTAAGGTGGTACATTACACCTGGCAAGAGTACAGAAACCTACAAAAGCAACATTATTCAAAAATCATGTGAACCTTTCTGCTTTTTCATGCTTTCTGAACAAAAATACCACTACATAATATGTTGGGTTGCCTAAAAATTTAGTGTCGTGGAGCCAATGTTTTGAAGCCAATGATTAGGCAGGGTGTGGTTGCCTCATTTCTGAATGTCTCGAGCTTAACAGAGGGGGAGACCATTCCTGCAATCCTTCAGGAAGTTGTATTTCTTGCCTGCAAGATGGCTGCTGAGGGACAAAGAAGATTGGTTGTAGTCCGAAGGGATCAGATCGGGCTGTATGAGAGTGCGGCGAAATTCTCTAGCCGAAATCCAGGATCTCGAGCTGTGTTATTTTCCAGACAAGTAGGCTTGTATTGAACTGAAGCAGGTATACTATACGGAGAGCTTTGTCGGATTGTCGGAGACTTCACTAGATTCGTATCGTAGCTGACAACAATAGACTTCCCAAACAAAGCCTTGGGAGGACGGAACTTCCAGTTATATATGTCGCAGCATGTGATACTGCTTCAGTGGTAATATTGTCCAATCATTCCGTTCGGTGGTAACATGAGAGAAACTGTAGACAGTACTCCACTTCTGTATATTAGTCAATTTTTCCGAGGGAGCGAAACCTCCTTGATTGCTAGAGATCGAGTTGTTTCGTTCGGATTCCCCTTATCAAAGAGCGTAATCAAATCTAATTCAATACCCACTACGAATTTTTGAAACAAACTAACAAAATATTACTGACCATAGGTGGCGCTAGCTTCTTTGTTAATTGATTGATGAACTCTGAATCTGGCGGCAACATATCGACCAATTTCATCAGCACCTGAAGATAGGTTATTTCAAGTCTGAACGTTGCTTCATGAATATAAGTCAAGTTCAATGAACAGTGGAAGTTCCGAGATGCCACTCTACTAAAAGAACACTGAACTGATACTTCAGTGTCCCTCTACCATGATTTTTGGTTTTTTTTTCTTATGAAATCCGGGTCAAAAAAACTTCTTATCGATACACCGCAAGGGGAGCACGGTATTGATTCTTAGCATGGAAAGTGGAAAAGTGGCTAGAAAGGAGCAAAACGCAGGTCCACTATGCGCCGTGGAAGACTCTGAGAGTAGCCAAGCCATTCTTCGTAATGATAAACGAATTCTCGAGAAGGAGTAATCGAACTTTGCTCGAAAAATTTCTCTCATATTTCTCAAGCGAGCAAGGTTAGAGCAAATTTAACAGTCAGATGTTTTGCAGTATCGAAGAGCAAATACTACGCACATTCTACAGTTGAGGTCGAAAGGAACGATAGGACGAAATCCATAGTTTACGGATGTCATTTGCGACAGACGACCGATGCTCCAAAATCTGCAGATGTCACCTCAACGCATCATTCGAGCAAAGTAGTAACCGATACAGCAGACCTCGTGCGAAATAACAGTACTATACTTTCGTAGGGATTCCCTCTTAACAGGAGTCAGAGGGGTGGCAACAATGAGATGGGGCAGATCAGAATAGAAGTTTGGCCCATTGCACTCTTCATCTCCAACTATGAAGCGCTTCAAGGAACTTTGATCAAACACCAAGAAACATGGAAATTGTAATGGTAGTTTTTAATCGCAATAAAATATCGCGTAGGCAGTTTGGAGCACCTGAGAAGGCCAGCGCGGTTGACCACGAGATGCCGGCGTTTGGTTTTGGAGCTTCATTGAATAATAGCTTCCAAAAATTCATCGCAATGCATGAAGGCAGTAAGTGATAATTGCTAATATCCCATTTCTACCTATCCTTCAGAGGTTCGTTGAGATATGCAATAGCATGCTATTGCATGATCAACATTAGAGTTTTTCTGTCATCCAAGTAAGCATGACCACATTTTGATAGAGTTGATTTGCCTAGAACATTACTAGGCGGTGAAGTAGCCCACCTTCACAGTGGAGAGGACCACAGCGGCATTGGCATGAGCGAGACGAGGGGAAATTCGCTCACAAATATTCTGCGCCTCTCGTTCATCTCGTGGCCTATAGCTGGCTAACGCATCCAAAATAAATACCTGGAAATATCAAAATGTATATTGTTGCACGACATTAAAAATGTGACAAAATGAACAAACCTGTCCCCACTCCGTACATTCATTGAGGGCAGTCAGTAGCTTGTTCACCATTTGACTATTAACCTAAGTAATGTTCCGCATACCACTGGCCGAAAATTACTGCATAAAAACAAGAGTACCTCGATAAGCGGTCGTTGTTCGTTTATTTCAGTCAACGCAGCGACCGCATTAGCAACCACCATGGGATTCGCATCCGACAGTAAATCATTCAGTAACTCCACAAAACCTGAATGCAAGCAATACACCCATTATGTGATTCATGGGTTCGGATCAGAATAGTGAGTGGCGGAACTTGTAATCGAATCCGCAAGCGGCAAGGCTTTGCGGCATTAACGAATCATCCACTGGGAAATACAAGATTCTGTGAAATGCCGCGTCCATTGCAAATGAGCCAACCGTAAGGTCATTGCAAGAACCGGGCCCCACAACTTGACTTTCGCTCCTATCCGAGTGGATGACTAGGGCGATTGCTAGGCCCACTGCCGCGGGACGCAAGGAGCAGATTACAAATCCACAACCCCAGATTCAAATCACCGTGCGCGTGGCGAAGTACGCGCGGTTCAACACGATTCATTTAACATCCTCTAGGAAATGATCAAATATTGAAAAAACGAACCTTGCTCTTCCACAAGTTTAGGATTCATATCATGAAGTTTGGCCACGCACACAGCTGCCGTCTTGCGTACGTAAGGATCTTCATCCTGCAATTTGCTCTTATACAATGTAGCTGCGGAAATGAGAGCGCAAAAGAACAAAGACAACAGGATGAACCAACGGTAGCAAAGATATCAAGTTATCGAGAAAACGATGTAAGAGTGGGGCAATCATGCCTTCTGATGAGCATATAATTTTGTAGGTTTCACTAAACTGTTTGTGCCTTTAACATGAATTCTACTTGCCAACAGAAAGTAAAACTCGTCTTGTCCTATTCCCTGCTCTCTCAGTAAAATATTTCTAGTAAAAAATAGAAAATCATGCGAAAACCAAATTGTCTAATCATCCTTAACATGAAAAAAATCTCTACGGAATTAGATCTTTGCCAAACTGCAAAGCTGCTAATCTTCGCCGGTTTGACAGAAGAAAAGATTTAAGAAGGTTAGATGAGAGAGCATTGTTACTGACAAACCTTCATGCATTTTCGTAGTGGCTCACACAAATACTCGGTAATCTTCTCGACACGAATACAACCCATTGTGCGCACTGCGAGGGCTCGAATTAGAGGGTTTGGATCTTCGCAGTCCTGTAAATCGAAAAAATAGTGTTCGAATTTATACAAAATGCGTATCAGTGGAAATACCTTAACGAAAGTGTTGACAGCCATTATGGCTAAATCTGGTTGACTTTTCGCGTAATTCATCAGGTAGAGGTAAACGAGCTTCTTCAATTCTACATTATCTGTTTGCATACAATTGACCACGTCGGGAAATAGCGCACTGAAGTGATTACAACATGATTCACATAGATTGTTAATAACCCATAAGCAGGAGAAGGACAACCTTTGAACCTACCTTACATCCTTCCCAACAGTCATACTTGCAATAACCTTTTTGACGGCTTCCCGCTTCTTTTCTTTTTTGTCGGAATTCAGCTCAGTTTTCAGTTCAAAAATTTCACCTAAAGGCGATCACAATAAAAAGCGACAAGCGAAACACAAGCGAATCCTTATTTCTAATAAAGTCGGAACGACTCGAATGAATATTCTCCCTCTTCAGAATTCTTGAAGTTCGCCTTATCATTCCCAACAAAAATAATTGGCATGATTAGTAAGAAGATGATTCCCATATAAAAAAACCACCCTACAAATGCTCTCAGTGGCTTTTCTACACAACTGATTCTTGATATCATGAACTTGTGCTTCGATGTCCAGCGAACCACTCCTCGAAGCCCAGGCACAACAACGTATGTAATCTCACCCTTTTTGGTGGTTGTGAAGTATTTTGAGTCCGTCATTGTGTAATCAACCAAGCACTATTTGTTTAAGACGATCCTCTTCCCTGAAACTCGAGCAGAAGAATAAGCAGAAAAGTTTTCTTGTTACACTTTATAGTTAGGAGATGAGAGCGAATTCAACCCGAATGTGGTACTTTGAAGGATGAACTAGATAAGGCAGTTTCAACGCTTAAAGAATCACTCAACAGCTTATTCAGAGTCAGATGAGAGCAGCGAGACCCTACAATGAAGATCGATTTTATGCCTTGGAATGCACAAATGAAGGTGCAAATGCAAGTATTATTTTGAGACACCTAGGGTTACAGAGCATTTTCAACCAAGACCTCCTGATGAGAAGATCAGACGGAGAAGCTATTTCAGCATATAGTATGCACCACCGCTCATGCTCGTGCTCCACTTCAGCTCGCTTTTCAGATGAAGTTGAACAAGAAAACGGGACAAGGTCTACGCGCAAGCGGTTGCGTCGCGGCATTTGCCGCTTGTGTTGCGACCTTTGCGCTGGGGCACCTTAATCCACGGTTCCGTGAGGGAATGGAAAAGACGTCGATAAGAGCCTAGTTGGCAATCGATATGGGCCCGCACTGGGTCGTTTGTTGGTCCACCGTTAGAAGCATAGTTCAGGGATCTTCACATGACGCATGTCTTACAATGGATGACGTCCATGTACAGCTTTCGCGAGCTAGCAGTTAACGTACTGACTAGATGCGTAAAAGTTAGTTGGAACTGAAATCCTTCGTTATTCTGAGCAACGCTTTGATAGGGAGCAGGTCAAAGGAAGCCGAAGGTCAGTGAAAGGCACTTTCCAGCGTTCATAGTGCACTCCTTAGAAAGTAGAGTATTTTAGAAAGAAATTGTTTTTTATTCTGGGTGGAGACGAAGAGAGAAAGAAAATCGTTTGAATAAACGTATAAAAGAGGCATAGAGTCAGCAATAGATTATTTCTCATTCCGTACTTGGGCAGACACTTGTAACTAAGTTGTGGCGCTTACTTTTGGGGGCATCGCATTTTTTAACGTACCCTCCAAATAATTTACTGTGCTGCCGCTCAAAATCATTCGGGTGCTGCCACTCAAAATAATTCGGGCAAACACAGCATATACGAGGATCCCATCCACTACACCCCGTATATTGAGGCACCTATAAGATGGGTTTTCGTGGAGCACTTTAACGCCTGTCTTCCCCATGTTTAAGTTATACAGCTTCATCACGAATTGTTTCGTGTCCTTCGATAAAAAGTCACTTTAGAAAATCCGTAAGTCTACGCGAGATTGTAAGGATTGTCTAAAACTTTCTTAATTGCTATGTGGGCCATAATAATCCTGATTCTTCTTGATGTAGGAAGAACTAGTCAAGGTACTTTCTGTTATAAACCAGTGTCGAAGTACTGCCATTACANTGCTCACTTTACTCCATTAGCCTACCCACAAAGTGACTGCTTTTTATATAAGAAGAATAAGTTCTCCATATCACTACCTTTATCATAATCACAAAGTAACCCGGACGGACAGACCGACAAACCGACAAACCAAGCTACTGCTTTATATATAAGAAGGAAAATGGTATATACAATTATATTGCCATATTTTTGTTTACTATAAGATCTGGCTACAAATGTTCATAGACCGGTTGGCAACAATATGTTGTGTGAAAAAGGNTGCTCACTTTACTCCATTAGCCTACCCACAAAGTGACTGCTTTTTATATAAGAAGAATAAGTTTTCCATATCACTACCTTTATCATAATCACAAAGTAACCCGGACGGACAGACCGACAAACCGACAAACCAAGTTACTGCTTTATATATAAGAAGGAAAATGGTATATGCAATTATATTGCCATATTTTTGTTTACTATAAAATCTGGCTACAAATGTTCATAGACCGGTTGGCAACAATATGTTGTGTGAAAAAGGTATTCGCAAAAAGAATATAAGTTTTATCATCACTTATCATAACAAGTAGGAACGATCGAATATGAGAATACAACATATGGCAGACTTTCAATCAATCAATAAGGACGGCTTCCGATTTCGCACCATCAGTGTCACTATCGGGCAGGTGGTTGAGAAATTAAATCTTCACATACTCTTCAAATTCTTATGTCTATATCGTGCTCTTTTTTCACCACTCACTCTGATTTTCAACGGATGGGCGGACTAGCTTCAAGATGGGCATTGAACGAACCTACGTGATCTCCTAATTCCTGAATTCTTCCACCATTTTCAACGTTCATCACAATTGTACAGAACCATCAAAGCAGGGGATAAATATCACAAAACGAGCTGTGCTCAGAACAATTCAAACAAAAAGTATTTGTATACAACCTTACAAAATTACAACGACGATGGTTACTTAAGCGAGAACCCAAAGTACAACACGAATGACTAAACAAAGCTATGTGAGACTTGTTGATGTAAACTGACGATAACGTACACTGTATATATCAATTGTTAACTTTGAGTATCTATCTAAAAGAACCTACTTTAGCGATGTAACTGAATAGAGGCGTCCCGCACAAAGAGCAAACTTTAACAATGGTCCAAACTACAACCACGGAAACACATCGGGTAGGATACTTGAAACCGTATAGCAAAATCATTTGAGGGATATTTGAGACTGATTCTCGCAGAGAAAACTACGCAGTAATTACAACTAGACTTCAACATCTATGCTCCACGTACGGCAAATGTTAAATATCTGACTTCTCTTTCCGACAATAGAGCTCCTTCAGGGTTTTCAGCTCCTCAATTAATGCCTTGTTCTGGTTCTCAAGTACAGCAACCCTGCTTTCTAAACACTTCACGTACTCCTGCAAAACACCAAAAACAGGTATTCCGGAAAAATAGGTTGTAAAATAGGCAACAATGCATAAAATACACGTTCTATAGAAATTTACGGTGAAAGATTTGTACTGACTACAAGAAAATTAATAGAATATAGTGTCATAAGCACTCGCGAATACGGACAAGACAACAACAAAAGGGGTCTCTCGTCTCCTCTCCATCTTTGTCAAGCCAAGATAAACAGAAATAAACAAACCTTCTTCTTGCGGCGACACTCCTTAGCGGCTTCACGATTTTTCAGCAATCGTACTTGCCTTTTCCTCGTCGACTCATCCTCACCACCACCACTGCAGCCACCCATTGAACTACGTGAACCTGCAGCCATAGTCGGTGAAGGTGAACTGATGTACCCGGACAACAAAGGAGAATGCCATTCTAAAAGTACTCATGCAAAGTTGAAATCCTCGCTTCGCTAGTATACCACATCCTTAAAAAGTTCTGGCTACACTTACTGACCTGAGAATGATGAAGTATCCATTCCACTAACAGGTTTGATCACATGACCATCATGACTCATTGGGAGCCCAGATGAACCTGAAACTAGCAACCTGATTCTTACGTTTCAAAAGAAGGTAATTAATTATAGGCAGATGCGCTAGTTTTACTTCAAGACATTCAATTATCAAAACTGCGCGATTATATTCTCCAGAAGGTCTGTGCAATCACTTTAAACATATACATACATCGATTTACATTAGCATTTCGTGTCTTCTAAACAAAATCAACATTTCATTGTCGTGTGTTCTAAACCGACATTTTTTGAACCAAGCTTATGAGCAACCCGCTTTTCATTCTACCCATCAAAACTGGCACCAGTGGAACCGCGTTGCTTGCCACAGCACCATCTGAACACAGACAAACAGCTTGATCAGCTGTGTTTCACTGAGCCAGATGGCATTCCTTATTGAATTGCATGTATCGCAACTGGCTGGGGTTATAGTAATTCATGTAGAGCGCCACAGTGGACGAATCTCTTCTACTTCATGCTCTTGTCATATTATAGGATGTGTTAAAAAACGTCAGCATCAGTTTTCCTTAAATACATGTCGCAACAGAACTGCCCCATTTTGTGTTTGTTTTATAGGCAAAGCAGGTGTGAAGTAAATCAAGAAGGATGGAGAATGGAGGAGACTCGACTAGGTCGCTTGAAAAGCTTTCGAAGATTTCTCCCATTCTCTTACACTGTCTCCGAGTTCCCCACATTTCCCTTTCAGCCATGTAAAAATAGCAAAAAAAAAACATAACAAAAAGCAGATCGCAACGAATGCAAAGGGCAAAACAGTTTCCAAATGAACAGTGCCTATAACTCTTGAAATCTTGTTCCGTGACTCAAAAAAAAAAAAGAAAATTTTCCGTTTTTCAATTGTAAGCCTCCACTTTACCTTTTCCGTCTGATTATGACGAAGCCAATGACTCAACTACTTATACGACAAAATACGATAGAAGTTTGAAAAGCCTTCGACAATATCACAGAGAAATCATGTAGTAAAAATTTGCGTGTCGTGTAGGAAAACATAAAAAAGAGGGTACGCGAGAAACAAAGACGAGCTGACCTACAAATTCCGCGGGCAAGCGCCATGATAACCCCATCAGTAGTGAGCGTGATCACGTGCGCACACACACTGAAACCCAGCGACGGCGCTGTTCATTTTCATAGCATGGCGGCGGCGAAATAGGTGTGAGATTATGGTATGGTAGTATTAGATTGTAACTTGCAACATTAACGTCACAGCGTCACATAAGAACGAAATCGAATGTATACTCTGATTTATATAAAAATAAAGAGCGATTGAAAGTTTTGAAACAAATGTTGAGCAAATCGAGGAACGGTCACACCTCACATAAATCCTTCAAAATTCAAAACCCAGTTTTTCGGAAGTCATCTTATTATATTAATTCCTTGATCATAAAAAATATAAACCCGTCGCACCCGTCTTCCATTCAGAAAGAAATTCTGTAGACAAGACGAAATGGAGCCGGAAAAAATTAGACGAAACCATTATGACCTTCCTCAATTGAGATTAATTACCTATTACATATAGGGTGACCTCCCAAATAATTACAGAACAATATTTGCATTTTCTAAGCAGTTAAGATGATAAAATGAGATGCTATGATATGCAAATGTTCAAACCAATGCTTTCACCCATTCCAACTGAATGTCGCTCAATAAATGTACATTCAAGGTATCCGCTACTCAGATATTCTACGAGGTTAAGGGCACTTCAGTGGATAACGGTTTAGAAAAACCTTGAATTTCGGGAATTTCACATTATGCTAGAAATATGAGGGTCTCTCCACAATGATTCAAAAAAGAAATGCCGAACAATTTAGAGCGTAATTCAACCATTGGTATATCCGCTGCCACAACCAAATCATTTCTGTAAAAATGCACGACTATTACTCCGCACCAAAACCACCGAAATCGCCCCGTAGCCAAGCCTAGTAAGAAGAAATAAGAGAAAAAGGGGAGAAGTTTGTCAGAAATTTAAGGATGAGGCAATCAAAAGCCATATTCCTTCAATTTGCAATCAAATATACTTTTTGTAATAACAAAATAATTTTTTGAAACTATGCAGAATTAAAAACAAAGTTGGTTTGATTGCTGAATACAATTTCTCCAAGAAGCTCGCTGTCTCAAGCGATCTCTAATAAAACAAAAAATTAAAAATGAGGGTGCTTCAACAACTCCAACTTTCGGCACAAAATACTCACCTGCTCCGACAGTAAGAGCAGAATTCTGACTGGACGAAGCAGCAGCAGCAATTGCAGCCGCAAAATCAAGTCCTGGAGGCAATGTTCCAAGATCACCATTGAGATGTAAGGGGTGGGGAAGGCTACCGCCTTGTAGTAGACCACCAGTTAAAGGAGATGCATAAGGACTGGGACCACTCGTTACACTGGATCGCCCAGTTGACGGAGGTATATTAACCTGTTAGATTACTAATTTAGAACGAGATTATTAGTTGCAAAATAGAAAGCGAACCTGTAGAGGTGATGCGTCAACGGATGATGGCGGCGTCTCGTCTGGCTCTTTTTTAAGAACTTTATCTGCAGTCTCCAGATCCTTCAGAATCATTCTGCAATCACGCTATATATAATGTGCGATGTGTATGTGATCGGAAATTCAAGTTTTTTTTGTTTTCCTCTTTGTTAGGCCTTTGCTATGATCAGAGAGCTTTGGCACTATGTGGAGCGTGATGAGATAACAGAAGAGGATGAAGGGGAATGCGATAAGGGCGAATATTAAGCCACTACGTGCGTTACAGGATTTGTATTAGCAGCACTAACACTGTGAGGCTATTATGTGGATTTTAACGGGATTGAAGATGAAGAGTGAACGAACTAACAACAGGTGATAGAAGGAAGGGACCTCCAATGTGATGCGCCTCAATCAAGGAGGATACATCGTCATTGAAGTGTGTCACTAGAGTACGAAATTTGGCAACTAAAAATGCTGGCCCAATTGTCTGAAAGGATATATCCACAGTTAGGCATTTCTGTTACAGGAAGAAAGGAACCAAGTTTGAGGCGGGCAATCACACAGGCGCATAACGCTAAGTAACCTCATGTAATATCAGCGATCGGTGAAGGTTGATTATTTTTTATTGCAAAAAAAAGTCTAAAGAACGTTATTTCTTGGATGCCAAGGCTATCTGATCTTTTTTTCTGTGCAAAATTGAATTATCTGACTTATAAAAAGAAAACCGAGGATATTCGCCGCGAGCATTACATATTAACTTATTCAAGCCTGGTAAAGCATACGCCACTTGGAGTAAATTGGAAGAGATCGAATAGGAAATAATGTTTACATACCATATTCATAAGAAATTTCCCCATCAGGCGTTCATGTATTTTGTAGCCTCGCAAATCGTTTGACAAAAAGAAACTTAGGAGCTGACAAACTGCAGAACACCCAGGATTGTATTTTCGTCAGGGAGATATGAAAATAAAACGAAGAGCACTCACACTCCTGCAGTTCGACGAAAGAGTATCAAATATGATGAAAGGGCGTAATTATCGATTCAAGGAAAAACTCTACCGATCTTAAAACTGTGTGAAAATAAACGTTAGAAAAAGCGTATTACCAATAAAATAATCAAAATGATATTGAGAGATCGTAATAGTGCAATGAATTCTTTTTAGAACTCAAAATCAATTATTTCCATCACTCTAGTACAAAAACTCAATCCAAAAGTCGTGGCCCTTAGATTGTTCGAAACTCTTTTTGGCGAAGCGTACATAACAATACTAATTACTATTACTATTATAAAATTACTAGCAATTACTGACACTAATTACTGGTCATCAATAAGAGAGAACGGCAAGAGCTCTATAAAGAAAAAAAAGGATCTCAATGATCGAGAAATGAATGGGTTCCAAACTTCGAAGTTTCAAATTACCGTCACCCCACAAAGTGTTAATCGAAAGATTGTTGCTATTATGTGCAATGGAAGTGAAAATAAAATGAAAGAACGCTAGAGCAAAACCGTTGGGATGAAATTCTGTGTCTTTACGACCTTAAATCGACAAAATCCATCTCGAAAAAGCGATACCATCACTGTTTTTGCCGAAGTAAATTTTTTTTGGATGAGCAGCTTCCGATCTACTTGCTTTATAACAGCCAACTAACAACGAAATTCAACTAAATTCTGCTCACGGCATCCCTGAGAGGAATTGGTCATCTTAATTGTTCATTTAATGAAAGAATCAATTTTTTTGAAAGGCGCAGAATACAGAGCTACTGCAATCTATAAAAATGAAACAGAAAACATAAACGAATTTCGTTGTTTGCCGGCGATTGTCGACCGAAGACTTTCGCGAGTATCATACATCCTCAACCTTAGAGAATCGCCTCAAGAAACACTCTTTAAACACAACTTGTTTCTCCAAGAAGAAATAGGAATTTGCCACAAAAATTATGCTTCGCTATGAATTGACTTTTGTTTCCCTCCAATATGGTTTCTACAACACATCCTATCCCCCACTTATTCAATGTAATCCAGTAATTTATGAAGACCAAGAGCTTGAAAGCACTGGAAAGACAAATCAGTTGTTTAAGCAGGCGAGGTGCAGCGCTACTGTGATAAACCTGAGTCAAGAGTTATTTAGGCTTCAATTTTATCGACACTACAACTTCGGTGACTTCTCGCCAATCTGACAATGTGGACAGAATAATGAAGGCTTCTGACCAATACAGTGAAAGATGATAATAGTCAACTAACTCACGCAATGAAATTATCATTAAAAGGAGCGGCCATCACCTATTTCCTCTCTAGAAATTACTTTTACTTCTGCTTCTGCTTCTCCATTCCTCACCCGACACCACGTTCACTTACTGAATACCTTTAAAAATTTTATAACACACCAGGCAAGGAACTTGCTCATTTCGCTGTCATGGAGAAAACTAAACTGTCATCTTTGGTCGGACTCCCTCTATCTTCCTATATGTAGGAATTAAGCGCTCCCCAACGACTTCCATACCAATTGCAACGGGAAATGAATGTGATTTCAGTGTTGAAGATGACCTACCCCTGCAATCATTACTGACCGCTATCCCTGACAGACCCGACCCCGAAATAGTGGATGACTCAGTCATAAAGAGTAGGGTTAAGCCTTCGACACAATCGGTCAACAACATAGTGATTACCGACGAAGAATTCATAGGAGCGCCGCACGTCTGTAACTTATACCCAGTTTTCAGCAGGGTTTATTCTGAGTTCTTCATTTTCTGTTGAACAATGAACTCGAAAAACCGTTGGTTACGTGTTTCAGGATACGTGGGAAGAACCAACGAAACAAATCTATCACTTCGCTGCCTTTTGATGAGTAGGCTTTGACGCATCTTGAAGTGGTAAGAAAATTCCCTCAGCTTTTACATCCCAAAACCGTGGAAGTAGTCGATGTGTTGAGTGCTCTCAAAACAACAGCCTGTCTATTATTTCCCTTGAGGATGCAAGATTATCCGCATGGATATCCTTCCTGCATTCGTCAGATAAGCAATCTTTTAGATGACGGTTTGACTAAGTTGCCATGGAGATGGCCAAAGGGGGGTGTTAAGGACGCTAACATGCCTCCATCATAATCTCACCTCAATAGAATTGGTAAAGGAGAATATTAGAAGAGATGGCGATAATGATGCGCACATGGATAATATCAGAAAATAGTAATGTATGAGGAATGCTGTATTTACATGATGGGTTCTCATAAAAACAACAATAACAGAATAAAAGTCACGGGAGAAGTAAAAGTGAATCGTAACTTAGAAAACACACCGATAACTTGGTCTTCTGTTGAGTTGCTCACGACGTTTCCTCGCTTCATCTTCGCTCATGACCTCCTCACCAGAGAGAGCCTTAAAAAGCCAATTTAGAGCGAAATGTGCGTCACCCCCTTTCAAACTGCAAGGAAAAAATCAATTTTCCAGTGTAAGGTGATGCTCTTTGCACCTTATTCCTTAGTTTTAGGAATAGGACACGATTAACCATCACAAAAGGGAAATTTTTAGATGATTAGGACTGCCATCACTGATAGCATAGAGAGCAATATTAAGAAAGTAGCAAATTGTGAAAATACGAACAACGCTTACCTTAAACAACAGCATCGCTTTAAGAAGCGATTGATAGTGTTAAGAATACAAAAATTATGAAGTGAATGTGCGCGCGAGAAAGGATCTTTTTCAGTGAGCTGAGCGGATCGACGGCTTGCTTTCGAGACGAGGGATTAACACTCAAGAGATACCAATATCAATCCCCGCAAGACATTAGCTGCGCCTAATTCATCACAATATGCGTAATCGGCAGAGCTCCGAAATTACTGTTATCATAGCAATAATCGAAGAAGGACAAAGCCATCAACTCGCATTGGAAAAGTAAGTGATTAAGAATGACTAAAGATAGTAAATGATGATAAAATGATAAATATAAAAGGGGTTTAATATGAGAATACTCTCAACGAAGGACATTACCATACAGGGCTATAGGAAAAGCCAGCAAACGAAACTTATAGTTTAATTGCTGACTTTGAATTACATGACCATTCCTGAGTATAGTACATCGTTCATATAATATTATCCGAGGCTTTTCTAGCGGTGGATTCTCACTCGAAATCAGTGGATATTGAAAGGGCCTCGATAACCGATCATGAAAAATGGCAAAACAGAAATGGAATAAAAATATAAGGCTTGCAAAAAGAAAAAGCCCCCGAGCAAATTTATAGTAAATGCCAAAATCTAAGATTGTGGTTCAGTATTTTAAAAAACTAGAAAGAATTTTAGTATACCTGTTTCTGTCTTTAGGAACATTCCCTGAGGTAAAGCAAACAGCAAAAAATAGGAGAAATAAGCAGAATAGTCAATTATGGCTTAAAAGGTAAGTGCATATCTAATTGAATGTATTGTTAAATAGAGAGCAGTTTGACATGGTGAATACACAAAATGCCTACATAAACTATTTCTAGATATGCTCTGCTTCGCAATGAAGAGTGGAAAAACATCACTAGTCTAATTACAACTATTTAACGTTTCACTAACCCACAATTGTATTTCGGTACTAACAAGCTAGAACATATTCTATTGCAATTGAAAAAATTACTGGGCTGATTGTTGTATGGCTTCACTGCTACAGAAGAAACATCGTGGGTGCAAAGATTGTCCTAGGACCCTGTTTAAACTCCACTTGCACGGTCCCCACACCATAGCAATACAAAAGCAGAAGAACGGATCTCAAGTGGAAAGTTCAATTAAGTAATCGAACACATGAAAAGTATGAGATTGAAATAGAAGAGAAGAGCAAGCTATATGTTTGACGGATAAAGATTACCAAAACTCGAACAATCAAACAAAAGTTTGTTGATTGACAATTTCCTTTCTCAGAGTTTGGAGAGTATCGAAATAGAAAATACGATAACTAGTTTGACATTTGGACACCAACCTGTCCACCATTTCCTTGTTGAATGGACATCTCGGATGGCAGCTGGAAACAAAAACCTGCTCCCGACTACTAATGGTATGCGACGCAGCGCATAAAACAAAACCTAAAAAGACTGAGTTCAGTCAATATCCGCCAAAAATGTTTAAAAAATATTGCGTCTAGATCACGCCATGTCAAACGCCCATAAAAGCGTAAGAAAAGAAACAAATTTTTCATTTTTACATGGCAACGAGAATAAATTTATTAGCATCGCCTCCACCTCTCCAAACTTCAAATAGTCAAAGACCAAAACACGCTAAGAACTAGTTCTACTATGAGATCAACTTCTTAAGTATAGTTATCCGTTGGATTTGAAATTAAAACTCTGGGGGTGACGTCATTGGCAAAAATGACGTCATGGGCATGCCTGAGAATCAGGGGGCAGGCGCCATTTTCAAACTTTCATTAGAGTCCTGCAAAGCTCCACAAACGTTACAACTCCACATTACTACATTAAAGGACGCAAGCGCTATGATTCTCATTGGAGCGCAGTAGTTGACAGAGAGTGTAAGGGGAAGCTGAGTAACAATTCTTCATACTACTGAACAACAATACCAATCGTATGATTCCATAACGTTTAAGCATACAGTAGGTTTGATTTTTGTGAAAAACATGGTAGTTTCCCTGGGTTGATCCCATAAAGTCTCGAGGGAGAGGCAAAACGAAAAGAACAAGTAGTGTGAGTTAAAATTTCCAATCTGTAACTGGAAAGGGAGGGAGAAGAGGGAGCTGGACAAAATAATCCTTACATTTTCTCTCGAGAACTGCGGTTTCAACGATTTTTGTCGTTTCAGGCTAAAGTAGCACAAAATAATCCAGCTCGGCTCGTGAAGGGAGACCTTGTTACAGAGTTTTAATCACAATTCTGGTAAAGCCCTGGGTTCCATCCATGATATTGTCCGAAATAAGAAGGTCGGCTATGGATTGACGAGGCCTTCTGCCTATTCCTTGTTTCTTTGCGACTTTTTCTGTCAACAGAACACGATAAAGGCGCAGTTCACGATAAAAAATGTCTTCTAAGATATACCTCGGGGATAAATTTGTGGCCGCCCCGTATACCATATGTGGCCCGGTCAGATCGAAAAATGGCCTAGATAGGGCGTTATAATGGCTCAAAGATCGTACCGGCTGCATGGTGCACCCAAAGCGGACGAGTTTCAACGGCATTGAAGAGGCTGCACCATAACAAGGTACATACATCAGGGAATTTCAAAATTTTGGTATTACTCACGAAGACAAAGGAAGGCACTTCTAGACACTTTGGCTCAATGTAGTCAGCTCTTCACGTAATTGCAACAACAGAAATCTCGTCTAGATACCCCTTACATGCCATTTCCTTCATGGTGAACTCGTACGACCTCTAATTTTACTACTTTGTAAAAATTTATTTTTCGAATCTGCGGGATTTTTTGCTTTCTTCGCTGCCGATACACTGTTCCCCACTAGCTCTTCCACTTTTCAACTTGAAAAGGGTACTTCTGAACTATCGTGAACTGCTCCTATTACTTGTGTCTCTTGAGGATACGTAGATTACTAATGAGAGAATTTTTTAGCCATTCGGTCGTACCTCTCGGGCCAAAATCGGTAAAAGCATAGTTATGACGACCATGAATTGTATTTTCTATTTCTATCAGTTTTTGGGCGGAGGTGGTGTAGTGGCAAATGGCGCAATTTTTCACATGCATGGTCACTGGTTCGAATCTCGGATAGATATCCGCTCAGACCAACCAAGCCTTCCATCTCTCCCGAGTCGGCTAATTGGTGCCAGACTCGTCTGGGAGGATAAAAGCATTGAACTGTTCACCCCTGGCCGCCACCAGTCATTGTATAGGCCACATACACATTCAGCACACCACTACCTGAATGGAAGATGAGTGCGGGGCGCATCCCTCAGACGGGACTGATCGACGCCCAAAGACTTCGTCCTTTACCAGTTTTTGGAGACTTACCGTTTAGTGCCTTATCAGTGCGGTGAAGCAGTGGGCATCCAGTTGAAGCCTTCTGTAACTTCCTCACTCCTAGCTCCTGAGCGCTCTCTAATACTCCTTCGGCAACAAGACCTGTCGAGGAACCTCTGCAGAGAAAATCGACTGCGACAAGAGATGTAAATTATTTATTTCAAAAATATCTGCACATATCGTAATAAAATACTTATAAAAATACATAAATGCATTCAATTAAAGCAATATTATAATAATACTAGCGGACCCGAATCACAGTTTTGTGGCCATTGGCAAATACCCCTGATAAGTGAACCCGAAGTTGGCAAGTTATGATTGTGGATAGTGCTTTGATTAGGGCGATTTTGAGGCGGAAGCAGTCGCGGCAGTCACTGGGCGATGATCGTGCCGCTGTCGATCAGTTCGAATCCATCTGAAGGTAGCTCATTGAAATACTTGAGCTAAATGCTTAGCTAAAAATGTACAAATGGTATTAAAAACAAGAAAAAAAATGAAATTTCTGAAAAAAAGAATACGGATCCTATGAAACACTACGCAACTTTCAAACCCGAACTTCTTGACTGACTCGGAAAACATGGACAATGCTTTCACTCAGTTCGCTGCGACTGTTTTGTCCTCGTTCTTTTGACCGAGCCAGTCAGGAGTTTCGGGTTTAAGAGCCCTAGTTTCCGACGCTAGACGCTTTTGCGTCAAAGGCGCTTGTCGCCCTACTCTGATAGTACCCATTTGTAACAGGACCTCTGAAACACGATTCTCCTACATAGCGATGACTATGACGCATTCAGCTTAAAAAAATCGTGTAGGGAGAGTTGGCGTCTGGAAGGG